ACTACACAGCCTTGTTCATAGCTGGCTATCAACAAACACTGAATAAATAAAGAACAGCAAATTGGCTGTGTTCATTTACCAAAATAATTGCATGAATGACATCTATTATTAGCAATAACAATATTGATTCAAAATTATTGCATTGGTTCCCTGGGTAATCAGAACTTGCAGTTACTGATGGAGTATCCTCAGGAAGCCTAACAAGACTGTCAGGTTATCTAACATACAAGGTGGAAAATGGAATTAAAGATGCTTATCTGAAAGCAAAAAAAATGTTCAAAATCCACGTGTAACTTTTTCACAATGCATAGTTTTCTGAATTCTTTGACAATGTCTGTAAGCATGGACTTCAAAAAAATTTTCTGCACAAAAATAAAAGTTGTGCTTAATTTCATTTGTCATGAATGTTTTGAAGACCCCTCCTAATGCTGCCCAGGCCGTCCAGCAGGACAAGCTTCTCCACTTTTGGCTGCAATGAAATTAACTAGAGTTGATGATACTAGTCTTCTCCAGTCAATCAGTTCTGAACAGAAGTCATATGCATTTGAGCAATTAAAGATAGGCTTGCAGCGTCTTCCCAATAAACATGATCTAGTTTCAGCAAGTTGGTCAAAAGATAGAGCTTGAAGGGGCTGGTGCTGTGCTGTAGTGGTTGGGTCACTGCCTGTAATGCCAGCATCCCGTATGGGCACCGGTTTGGGTCTGGGTTGCTCCACTTCTGATCCAGCTCTCTGCTATGGCCTGGGAAAGCAGTAGAAGATGGTCCAGGTTCTTGGGCCCCTGCACCCACATGGGAGATGCAGAAGTTCCTGGCTCCTGGCTTCAGATCCGCGCAGTTCCAGCTGTTGCGGCCATCTGGGGAGCGAACCAGCGGATAGAAGATCTCTCTATATCTCTCTGCCTCTGCTTCTGTAGCTCTGCCTTTCAGATAAATAAATCAATCTTTAAAAATTAAAAAAAATATATATGGAGCCTGGGAGGGAGAACCTCATGTTATAGGGTCCCCGCAGACAAAAAGCTAGAGGCTACACAGCTGCTCTCATTCTGAATCCAGAGAGGCCCTGAGCGCCCCACACCAGGCACCTGTGGGCTGCATTTCCTGGTTGTGTGTTCCCCTTGGTGCTTTATAGAAGACACACACTGTCTTCAGGGTTAAATTCGGACCCTCTACATACATTGTCATTCTGAGCTGCCAAATGGGGGTTTCACCAAACCAGCTACTCCCAACCAGCAGAGCCCGACTCCGACTCAGCCCATTGGTCATTAAGCTGACACTACACTCAATATCACTCACATTCAGGCCTTTAAAAGTAAGGCAGACAGAGGCGGAAGTCCTGACCTCCAACCCCTGTGTGAGAAGGATGAAAAGGATGAAAAGAAACCTTTTTATTACTTGTAATCACTGCTGTTTCACAGCACTTTTAGTTATTATTTTGTGCATTTTTATGCTTTGTTATATGGTTCTATTAATTTTATCATATGCTAGTACATATTTTTCACCTGTATAGTGTTACAAATACACTGTTGGGCAAACAGTGAGTATGCCACACATGCTGGTAAACCAGTTCCCCTGTTATACTTGGTTCAGCAAAAACAACATAGTATGCTCTAGCTGACTACTGAAATCGGCTAAGGGCATATCTGTACTGACAGATAATGAACTGAGGAGTCTGATACAACGGTGAAGAAGATTCCGAATAAAACACAGGGTCTGGGATTTTTTTCATCTGATATAGGGAAGGAAAATACATTGGTCCAATCACTGCTAGTTCCATATCAATTAGTCACCATGGATACCACCTAACTTTTCTTCTGATGGGAAAAAATTCACTGACAATAATTTAATTGCTTAGTATTGTCTTAATAGTTCACATAACATAGTTACAGCCCTGTTTAGTTCCTTATCACTATATACATATCCTCAGAAGTCAAATCCTTTCTTGAAAATCCCTGCTCACCGGAAATTCTGAGACAAAGTGTTCACTCCAGTTGTGGTACCCTTAGCTTTTCCACTGTCACAGAATCTGATGTTTTCAACATGTATGCCTTACACATGTGCAGACTGCTGTAACTAACAGTGTCTGAACTGTGTCCCTACACAGCCCTATGACACACTTCAGTAACATTACCTTTCATAAAACCAACTCCCAAAGGTGATGTCTATATTTAGTCTTTATTTATTGTCAGCTCACCAACTAGAATGCAAGCTACCCTAGAGGATAAACACGATGTGTGTCTTGTTCTCAGCTCAATCCAGAGCCTACCACTGTGTCTGACACACAGTCCAAATCCTTCAAGTATGTATGAAATGTAGGAGTAAATTCTCTGGTTTACTTTAAGACCTTTTGCTCTGAAACAGATACCCCATTCAGAGTTCAGTGGTCTGTTCACTATCCAAAGGAAATTATCTGAAAATGCTCTAAAAACAACAGATCGCACACTAGGTAATGCAAGGAAAAGAAATACAATGTCCTCGTGAAAACCGAGGCACATCAGATGTTGAAAATCTAAAGCCTCAAATTTTCCACTACTGAGTCTAAACATCTTTAGCACTGGTATATTAAATATTTGCCTAATAAAGTATTTCAGAGAGCAGGGTAAGAGAAAAATTAGGGCCACAGCTCCTAGAGCTGTCAGTTCTTGACGGCAACCATTTGTTTGCCATAATTTGCTTCCAGACCCTTCCTTTTGATGAAGATGACATTGTACAGGTAAGTCTGAAATATGTGGAACTGTCTCTAAGTTTTGAAGGTCAACAGGAAAAATACGACTCCTTGAGAATGAAATATGTACGTGTTTAATTTAAAGAAGCAGTTACAACTCATAACAATGCATGAGAATTCTCCCATCCAAGAGGCCAAAATCTCATTCCTACCCAACAGGCTGTTATAAATTATAATCATTCGCTAATTACAGTGAAATTCTGGACTTTGCCACACTAATCAATAGATGTTCCAAGGTCACAATCTAAAGGTGTCAGTTGAAATGCTAAAAATTCCATCTACTGAGGTTTCCTTAGGGAAGACACAAAGTTTTCCCAGGATTTTTTAGATTTCTATTTTTTCTCCTCCCCCCCCCCCCCCCCCCGCCAACCCCATGAATGGAGGGATCATTCCGGGAAAATCAGGGCCCCCTGAATCTGTGTGTGTGATGAAGTCCAACGGGATCGCCGCTGGGGCCCTGGCAATGGAGCAGGCATCTGTCTAACATCAAGACCATCCGCCCCTGTGTCTGATACCAGACCCCTGTCTGCACCTGCCCTGGAGCACCAAAATGTGCAGGCTGCCAAGTGCAAGGGGTGCCCGCAGTGCATCTGAAAACCAATCAACGTCTGCACGCAGGACTGCAACCCCGATGATTCCTGAAAATCCACAACAGGAAACGTAAGTATCCTCCACCCTCCCTGGCCATTCATCAAAAGCAGACCGAATCACAGCCACGGGGCGGCCACGGGCAGAAGGCAAAGGCCGGCACTTTTCCTCGTTTTAGAAGGGCTGCATTTTCTAATTCCACAGCCAAGGACGGGAAGGAGAAGGCTGAAGACCGCGGAGCGGGCAGTAAGCCCCCAAGTTTCAAACACCGTGGGGTTAGCAGCCAGGGAGAGCTACCGCGCTACATACACAGTCGGCCCGGCGGGTCCTGCCTACGCCGGCCGCCCCCGGCGCCCCAGCGGTGCCCAAACACGCGGCTCACGCCCCGGTCGGGCGGCCAGCCTCCGTCCCTTTCCCCCCTTCCGAGGGGACACGCGGGTAAGGGTGGCAAACGCACCGGGGCCAGCGGGTGCTGCCGCCGCGTTCCGGGGAGGGCGGGAGTTGCCAGCGACACCCTGTGAACTTGGACAGGCTCCCCGGGCCCCCGGCGGGTGCCAGCCCCCGGACCGTGCCGCCGGGAGCGGCCGGGCGCCGCGATTGGCTGCAGCCGGCATCGCTCGGTGGGCGAGCCGGGGCGGGCGAGGCGGAGAGGAAGTGGCGGCCGCGGCTTTGCACCAACCATGTTCGGCCGGCGGGCGAGTGTCACCCGGCGCCCACAGCGGGGTCGGAGGGCGCGGGGCGGGCATTCCCGTCCCCACCCCGCCGCCGCCCCGCGCCCCAAGCCCCCCTCTGGGGGGACGCCGGCCCTCGCGCCTGCCCTCCCGGGCGCCGCTCGGTCCCCGGAGGCTCCCTGCCCCCACCTCGCCCGCTCCGTAGCCGAGGCGGGTCAGGCCCAGCGCGCGAGGCCGGCCGGGGGCGCCGGCGGGGACCCGGAGGCGCCCGGCGCTAGGCCGCGGCCGGGGCAGATGACCCGTCCGCGCGGCGCCCTCCCGAGACGCGCCGCCTGAGCCCCTCGCGCGCCGGGACAAGTGCAACGACAAAGCCCCCGGGCCAGGCCGGGCGCTGGCCGGCGGGAAGGAGGACGCGGCGTCCCTCCAGAGTGGCGGCGGCCCAGCCCCCAGGAAGCCCGGCGCGTCGGCCAGGCCCGGCGCCCAGCCTCGCGCTCCGAGCCCGCTCCGGACGCTGCCACCCGACGCCCGCGACCCTGCCCGGTGCCGGGCGGGTGGGCGAGCCCCCAGGCTCAGCCGCGGGGCGCCCCTTCAAGTTTGCTGTCGCCGGGGCGCGGGCAGCTGGCGGACGGCGGGTGCCCGCTTATTTACACTGGCGGCTGCCGCGGGAGAGGCGCCGCCGCCGGCACCGAGGAGGACCTGCTCCCCGCCTTCGGGTCTGCTGGCGGCCGCGGCTTGTAAACACACATACACGCACACGCAGACAGGACAGTTTTGGTTTTAAATGAGGCCCTGCTCCAGCGGACCCGCACCCCGACACACGACACCTGAGGTACGGAATCACACAGAACAGCTCTGTGTCCATGGAACCACTTCTTCGCATCTGCAAATCCAAAAGTGAAATTAAACCTCCACCAACCTCCTCCTCCTCCCTCTCTACCTCCTCCTCCTCCTCCACCTCCTCCTCCTCCTCCTTGCAGCCTCAGCAGCCCCAGTAGCAACAGCAGCAGAACAGCCGAACCTGCTTCCCCTAAAACCAGATGATCCATAATTGCGCCGAGTGATCCTCCACAAACCGGCATTAATTTTTAGGAACCCCGGCATTTTCCGTCTGCAAAACATCGTGTCAAAAGCATCAGGACACGCACACGCAAACGCACAGCCCCCACCCCCGGCCCCGTCAACAAGCCCTCGAGAGAAAACACACGCACCGTCACAACTATTATTTGGCCAAAAAAAAAAAAAAAATGTTACCTTCTCCGTGTGCTTTTTCACGCTAGCCGTGCAATCCCGCAAGGGCTAAGTGTTGCTAGGGTGTGGGAAATGGAAACGAAAGCCCGTCAGTTGAATAATCGCGGGAGCAAAACTAAAAGTTACTCCCCGGCTGGCCTGAGAACAGTCCAGATCGAAAGCAAAACAAGGAGAGGAAACTGCGAAGCGCCGCGGCTGGAAATCCCCCCGCCCCCCGCCCCGCTCGCCGCCGCGCGCCCTCGCCCGCCTCCCTCCGCCCGCCTCCTCCGCCCTTCCTCCCCAGTGTTTGTCTCGGCCTTGTGCAACCGGGAGGCGGCGGCCGAGGGCGGGCGCGAGCGGCCGGGCCGCGGGGCGCGGAAGTTCGCCGCCGCCGCTCATTGGCTCGCGGCGCCGCTTTCATCGTTTCTCGGAAAAGTCGATTTCATTTTCACTTCCCCACGTCGCGGGAGCCACGGGCGGCCGCGCGTGAGTCTAGCTGCTCGCGCACAGGGGCGCTCGCGTTCCCCGCAGCCGCACGCGCGTGAGGGCCCCGGGTGGGGAGCGGGGCGCGGGCGCGGGTTTGTGTGTGTAGGGGGGTCAGGTCAGAAGCTGGTGCAGGCTGAGGTGGGAGCGAGGACGGGCAGGTGCGGGCCCTGCGCGTCCTCGGGGTCGCCTGGCGCTCTGAGGAGGGGGACCCGAGGCGGGGAGCGTGCGGGGCGCGGGGACGGGAGGGCGGCAGCCGGTTGCTGTGGGGCAGCAGAGTGTAGCACTGCCCACCTCGAAGGAGCGAACGCGGGGCAGTGATGTGAAAAGTCGGCATCCCTGGCGCCCCGTGGGGAGGCTGGCGAGCGTGGGAGTCGCTGCTCCTCAAAGATGTCGTGGCCGGGGTCTGGGCCTGGGCAGAGACTGGATGCTTTCTTATTTGGCCTCCTTAGTTCACTCGCTGAGCACCCTCGGCCTCAGGTTTCCAGGCCGGGGATAAATGGGAGAACAGAATACAGGTGCCTCAGCTGCCACCTCTAAGCCCAAACTCACAGCACTCGGGACCCGCTCCTTTCTGATCACTTGCATAGGAAAGGATAGGCGCACACCGATTAGAGCCGCCTCTCCCCATAGGGGGCTTAGGCAAACGGCTCGTCCCTTCTCTAGCTATTTCTTCTCATATTATTTCCAAAAGTAATAATAAACTCCAGCACCTGTCTTTGTCACAGAAGCATTGAATTATGTGCACTGGATAAAGAAAAGTGTCGGGATATGCACGTGTGGTGGGGCGGGAGCTGAGGATCTAGTGTCCCGTTTTGTGGCTATGGACTCCAGTGGGTCTCATATACGCACATTATTCATTGTCCCCTCTGTCACAGCGACCCAGACACTCACTTTTCTTAATTTGTATATCCATGACGCCCATAGGGGCAGACACACAAACTGTAGGATAGTTGTCACTCTTCACCCACCCTGAGACCCAGATCTCTCTCTTTTTTTTTCGACCAAAAAAGTTGCCTCACTGTATTTCCCCTGGAATGTGAAGAAGAAGTGGGGAAGAAGAAAGAAGAAGGGAAGAAATCATCAGGGTGTCGGTTTGAAATTCTCACTCTAGGCACACATGGGACCCAGATCTCGCCTCGCAGCCCCAGGAGTGCAAGAAGCAATAGCCTGGTGTCATGGCACCCGCAGGTGCTGCGTTCCCTGAGTCTCTCAAAGCCAGCTGCGTCCATGCTGTTATTTTAGGGGAGCCAGACAGAGCTGGGCCCGCACATGGCTTCACTGCCTCCTGACCACTGCCATGCGGGAGAGTAGCTAGCTTGAGGACTGGTGGGATTCTGGTGCTTGTCTTCCCGAGGAAGATGTTCAAGAAGCTGTCTTTGAGAAGGATGAAGTTGGTTGTTGACTTTTTTTTTTAAGCCACACTTCAAGTCATCTTCCCTGCAGCATAAATCCAGTCTGTTGCATCCTGGAAACCTATTGATGCTACTCCAAGCATCTTTGGGCCTGGTCCATCCCTAGGGCTCTGCCTTCCCTCGGTTATAGTAGTTGCCTAGTAACTGTGCTGCCTGTATCATTCCTTAGGCTGCTCCAGGCCAGCAGCCATACTACTAACCGAGTTAAGTAGAAAATTAACATCGGGCAAAGCACAGTTCCGACCGTGGCTCTTCGTCTCAGCAGCCTCCCTGCAGCCTTCAAAGTGAAGGCCATGTGCTTTGACAAGACACATCAACTTGGCTCCTCCAGCCTCACCTCCTGCCACCACTCCCCAGGAGCCCTACATTCCCCCCCCCCCACACACCTTGCCAAATCAGCTGCCACTCCCTTTGGTCAAACAGCAGAGCTAACCTCTTGGTCATTATTTTATCCTTAGCATGGGGCCCAGCACATAGGAACTCAAACGCTTCTTAGTGAATCATTACTTGCTCTTTGCTTTATAAAACATTTTAGACTTTATCAAAGCATTTGTTTTATACTTTAATAGCTTTTCCATATACATGGATCTGATGTTTATTAGACACAATTCAGAAAATATAGGACCTTTAAGAGAAGAAAGTCAGCTACCTAAAATGTCACCCATTGGGAATAGATGTATTGATATTTTACATATATTTCCTTCTAGTCACCTTTCTGCAGGGCCATTTTCTGTCTCTGCGTCATTGAGCAACGTTGATCATCCTGCCTGTTTCCCATGATGCCTACGTGACATCCTCCTGTCCTCCTCTATTGCTTGGCTGGCTACTCTTCTGCTGCCAGCCCCTAAATTATGGTGTTTCCAGACGTTCTGTCCTAACCCTCTTATTTTCTCATTCTATGTGCTTTCTCTTCGGGTGCTGTCCTCCACGCCCAGTGCTCCACAAATACCAACACAGACGGCCCCCAATTTATGATGCTTTGACGTAATGATTTTTTTTTCAGCTTTATGGTAGTGCAAAAACCAAGCTTCAGATTTTGACTTTGGGTCTTTTCCCAGGCCAGTGATAGATGGTCCAGTCCTTCCTTTCGGTGCTGGCCAGAGGCAGGCACAGCTCCGGGTCAGCTCCGGGATCACCAAGGAAACATCGCATACTGTAGTGTGCTTGAGCTACGTGAGCAATAACATCTGGTAGGTTAGAGGGATTCGATGCATTTTCATTGTATGATATTTTTAGGTTACGATGGGTTTAGCAGTACGTATCCCCATCATGTCTCAGGGGTAGCATCTGTATTTGGTGTGTCCTCCAAATCTTAACTTCTGCGCTCTAGACACATTTCCTCCTAGATGCTGTCCATGTGCAACAAATTCATAACCTCATAACAAAACTCATAACCTTCCCCCACAGCCTTGCATTTGTCTCTTCATTGACTAGCCAGGAAACGGGGGGACATATAGACTCCCTCCTTTTCTTGAGCCCCTGGAGCACCCTAAGGCAGGGGGATTGCTTCCAATTTTCCAGGCACCTAAACTCGTAAAATACAGAATGCATTTGACTCTACTCTTACGCCCTTCATGACTTGTCACTGCTGACCAAACATGTAAGTGTGACCCAAAGCAGCCACCTGGGATTGACAGACACAGTGAAGAGGAATTTCTCAGTCTTTTGATGAGATGCTTAAAGTCATAAATCTCCGTGGGAAATGGATCAGTATAGCAAACTACAACCTTTTGGGAAGTCTGTGGGAACAGTGCTTTCTGGCATACCAAGGAAATCTCACCAAACGCCTTAGTCTAATATGAAAACAGCCTGTTGTGGGAGCAGCCTTGTGTAGGGAGAGCAGCGTGCTCCCAGGGGCGAAGCAAGTTTCTATCTCACCTGTGAAATGGAACGTCCCAAAAGAGCTACCTGGATGCGTTAGAACTAATTTCTTTTTGGGGGACTTGGGGAGGGACAATGAGTGGTTCTCCAGGAGTGGTTCTTAAGAAGTTTAAAGACACACTCCCAGTTAACTGCTTTCAGGTGGGTTTTTATTTTTCTAATAAATGAGAAAAGTTTCATAAAATAATCATTCAAGTCACATTTGCTAGGTGCCTGGGCGTGCTCCTCAGCACTGGGGACACTGCAGGGAATGAGGAGTGAAAGTCTCTGCTTCCCAGGTGTTCTGACAGTGTAGTAGATTCACGCGGTGATTTCCACTGTAGCGTGCCCACAGTGGCACCAGCATCACCTCTCTCGCATCACCTCTGTCTCAGCCGAAGCTTTTTTTTTTTAAAAAAAAAAAAAGGATTAATTTTATTTATTTGAAAAAGTTACAGAGAGAGGTAGAGACAGAGAAAGAGGTCTTCCATCCACTGGTTCACTCCCCAATGGCTGCAACGGCCAGAGCTGCGCCAATCCGAAGCCAGGAGCCAGGAGCTTCTTCCGGGTCTCCCACATGGGTGCAGGGGCCCAAGGACTTTGCCCATCTTCTACTGCTTTCCCAGGTCATTTTTCCAGAAAACTCATCTTTCCATAGAGCTGGATCAGAAGAGGAGCAGCTGGGACTAGAACCAGTGCCCATATGGGATGCCGGCACTTCAGGCCAGGGCTTAAATCCACTGCACCACAGCGCTGGCCCCCAGCCATCGATTTTTTAAACTGTACATTAAATGGTATATAATATGATGGCATCCTAACTAAAGTTTATGTATTACTAAGTCAGGGGACTCTCATCAGTCTATCAGATGATGCTCCAATTTCTTCTACAGTATCACTGTTCCTACTTCTTTTAAAAAAAAATTTACTTGAAAAGCAGAATGACAGAGTGGGGGAGAGAGATCTTCATTCTGCTGGTTCATTCCCCAAATGTCCACAATGGCCTGGCAGGCCAAAGCCAGGAGCCTGCAACTCCATCAGGTGTTCTGACGTGGGTGTAGGGGCCCAATTGGGCCATCCTCTGCTGCCTTTCCCAGGTGCATTAGCAGGGAGCTGAATCGGAAGTGGAATATCCAGGACTCGAACCAGCATCATATGGGATGCTAGCCTTGGCTTAAGCCACTGTACCACAGTGCCAGCCCCGTGCCGTTCCTACTTCTGTCCTGCTCTACCCTGTGGTACCGTAATTGAGACAGTTATAAAGACACAGAAAATGAGGGCTTCGGGGACGGACATTGGGCACACAGGTAAGATGCTGCTTGAGGCTCCCACATCCCATATCAGGGTGCCTGGGTTCCATCCTGGCTCCACTTACATCCTAACATGTGCTAATGCACACCCTGGGAGGCAACAGGGGACAGCTCCACATGGTCCCGGCCACCCATGTGGAGACCCAAATTAAATCCCCCACTCCTGACTCTGACTTGACCTAGTGCTAATGGTCATGGGCATTTGGGGAATAAACC